GTTTGTATGTAATGTATGAATATAATATACAAGTTTCACTTTTTAAATGGAATTACTGAAATAAATCTACTTTTTCATGATATTCTAATTTTATGACCAGCACCTGTAATACATTTAACGCTGCAAGTTTTAAAACAACACAAAATGCCAGCTTCAGGTCATAATATTTTCTGAAAAGATTTAAAATTTTCATTTTGCAGAACTTTAATTATCTACAGTTTTTTATTAATATGAGATAAAATGAAAAGGCAAAGCTGCTTCATTCTAAAGTTGCAGTGAAACCATAAAAACACTCAGAGTGTGAGAAATTTTTTATCAGAATCGCCTTTATTGTCATTATAATTTGCATTATAATGAAATTGGGTTTGCTGCTCCAAGGTGCTTGTTTTTTTTTATTTTTTTAGACACGATAAAATAACTTTACTAGAGTAGAAAATACAATAAAATAGAAAAGTTAAAATCAAATAAAGACAAAAATGTGCACTATCCAAAAAGAGAAATCAAAGCGTTTCTGTATATAGAAATGGAGAATAGGGACATTTTACAGAATATTATTCTTCATTGTTTGTAATTTTGCACATTAAAGACGTTCCTGAGAATATTTCATTTGAGATATATTGCACACATTTTGTAATACACATGGGTTGAAAAATTTAATGTTTGTTGCCGTTATTTTCTATTGTTCAGCTCCCTGATGGCTCGTGGGAAGAAGCTGTTTCCGAGCCTATTTGTCCGTGTTTTGTGTGAGCCGTACCGTCGGCCCGAGGGGATGGGTCCTTGATGATTATTGTTCAAGAGAATGATAAAAGTTAATTTGTTAAAGAAAAATGTATAGTTTGTATTTATTTGTAAGAGTTACTGTTTGAGGAGTATAATGTTTTGTTTAGTTTTATTATTTCATTACTATTGTTTGAAATTAATATTATTTTTTGCAAATGGGGCAGACATAAGATTTTTTTCTTCTTCTGCTACCTTTCATTTTATTTGATTTGTATTGTTTTGTTGTATGTAAATGTGTTTTGTTTTTTAATGGAATGAATAAAGTTAATATAAATAAAATAAATTAAACCTTCTTGGTAGTTGAGCTGTTCTCTAACTGAGCTTCACACAGGTAGAAAGGCTCAGCCAGCGACAGCTCCAAGGACAGAGGCAGAGACGACACGTTCTTCACAACCAGCTTCTCGTACGCCGGCTGCAGGCCCCTGCCCTCCACCTGGAAGTCAAACATCCAGGTATGTTTGAGAAAAATGTGCAGAAACATCAGAAGACAAAAGGTCCTGTTTTTATTCCTTTCTTCTTTTCTTTAAATGATTTTAAATTTATGAGTCAGTTTTCTTGTGATCCTATAACCACTACTTGACACCACACTTGACAAAGATCAGGATTACTCTGTGCCTAATATGTCAATAAAATAAAAAAAAACAGATTTGTGAGTTATCTTTCTTAACAAAAGTATTTTCAACGGCAGTTTTTCAGCTAAAAGTAATTGCAAAGTGGAGTTCCACAGAGCAGCTGCTAAAGACATTTGCTGTTTTCAGTTTTCACCAATGACCTGCCTTTTGTCCTCCAGCATAAAAGGGCTGTGATGTATGCTGATGACACCAGTGTGTGTGTCAAGTTCATCTGTACACACTCTGTCCAGCACACTGGCCTGAAAACTTAAGGAGGTTGTAAAATGGGTGCATAAAAATAAATCAGTTTTAAATTGATCAAAAACCAAAAGCATAATATTTGGATCAAATTGGAAATGAAAGACTCAGCCAGAATTAGAACTGTCTATAAATAGCTGTGTTTCCATTGACCATGAAAATGCACAAATTAGAATTTCGAAAATAAATTTGCTCAATGGAAACACGTCAATTTTGAAATTTTTTTTGACAAAATGTTTTTGCGCTAGGGTGAGGTGGTTTTTCGGTCATATCGAAAATTGGTGTGTTTCGCAAAACTGCAATGGAAACACTTTTTTCGCTTCACGGGAGTCACGTGATCAACAACCGGATGTTTCTACTGGTGAAAAAGACGATGACGAAGATAACAGGAAATAGAAGTAGTAGTTACATCAACGAAGTTGTAAAAGAAAGTAGTAAACTCACCGACTACAATTTTCCAAAAACGTAGCATACGTAGCCACTCCCAAGTATAAGGGGCTTGTCGCTCAAAAGCCTTGATAAGACATCGACGTCTCCTCTGATGATGAGCGCTAGTGTCGTGGTAGCAACATGCTATGTGTTTATATCCATCGCCGCCATGTTTGTAATGACTTATCACGAGAACAAACGTATTCACGCGACTTTAATAGCATTTCTTACTTAATTGAAACACCGCAATTGCGAAACTGTTTTTTCAACATTAACAGAATATCGACAAAGTTTTGTGCAATGGAAACGCAGTCAATGATACAGCCATTACTCAGGTAGAAGAAGTGGAACTGGGAGTCATTATAGACAGCACTAGAGGGGTCTCAGCAGGCTGAGAACACTGTTACAGTGATGGGAAGACAACTAGTTGTTATAAAAAAGACGTTTAAATTATACAGTATACCCTTTAAATGAATCCTAACACACTTGTCTTGTCTCACTTGCAGTATTGCCCTATGGTGTGGTCCGGTGCTTCAGAAAAACATCCAACTAAAACACAATTAGCTCAGAGCAGGGCAACACGTCTTGCACTGAATTGTTCCTCACACACAAATGTTCTCAGCCTGCACAGAGCAGGTCGGCCCTGGGTTCAAAATAAGGTTGAGATTGAGCTTTTAAATTTTTATACATATTATAGTGTCTAAGATACCAACTGTTTTATATAATCAGCTTTTATTTAGCCACACTTTACATATGTTTAATACAAGACATGCTTTAATTTTTAGAGGAATGAGAACAAGGAACTCCCTTTCCTTCATCTTTTTTTAAATATAACAAATGTTAAGAGCTTTTAAAAGAGTTATAATTGTACATTTATGAATTAATATGCTGTGTTACTAATATTATGTTAGGTGTGTAGAAGTGATTCATAACAAATTTACATATTTACACATTTAAAAAAGTATCTTAAACAGTCTTTTTAAAGTTCCCAGTCACGTACTCACTGAATAATTTTATTGTTGTAATGTCATTTGTCTGAAGATGTGTCGGTGTTTTGCTTTATATTGTATATTGTGATCTTGTGTTGTTTTCATGCCTCAGGACTACAGATGTAAATTAGCAACTATGCTATACATACAGTCTATAAAGAAGTATAAAATTGTCCATTCGTGTGTACTGTCCTGATTAAATAAATAAAAATTAAATTAAAAAAATGTTTTTTGTGGACCCCAGGAAGAGTAGCCATTGTCACAGCAAGGGCTAAATGTGATCCAAGTAAAGATAAAAATAAGATTTATACATCTACCACCCTCCACAAACTCACCATTTGAACAAGAACATCCGTCATAAAACCAGATATTCTCAGAGTTTGTAACTCATCACATCAACCTGAGGAAAACATTTCAGCAACATTTTGATCCCTGACTGATTCAAGAGATTCATTTGTCTTTCTAATCAGGAGAACTCATCAATATTTGGTCTGGATTCTATTTTAGGTTATTCTAATGAGGAATATTGTCTTCATTTTAAAGTTATTTGGAAATTAAAATTTCATAGCTGGAAAGAGAAAAAAGCTTTGCTAGCTCGCTGAGAAAATGACAAAAATTTGAGGCATTTCTGCTCAAAAATCACGTTTTTTTGGTGCTGCTGCTCAAAAACACATTAAAAAAGATTCAAGATTATATTTCAGACAATTTATTCAAATCATTCATTGATAACGTATTTATTAATTCTATTTTGACTAAATGCAAATGTTTTAACCAATGCATTATAGATTATAAAAAGGTAAAAAGTATTTCTAGTATTTCTAGTTCTTTCTAGCTTCAAATAAATTTGTTTTTTTATCCTTTTGCTTGAGTAAAAAGCTTGAGTTGATCCTTCAACCTGTAAAGAAGTACTTTTAAACCCTGGTATCTATACCTCTACTTGAGTAATGAATGTACGCTGTGATGCACTCTGGGTTTGATGTGACGAGTCACGGTTGCTGGTGGATTGTGTTTGTTACAGACCTTCCTCCTGCAGAAGTTCAGCTGCTTTGAGGAGAAACGGAGCACGGGCTCCACAAAGCGACAGCTCACGTTCACAGACATGAGGGTCTCCTGGCAGCCCTCGGGCCCGATGATGCCTTGGCACACCAGGCGCTCTTTTATGACCTGGAAGTTTACAGAAGCCGTTGATGTAAACGATAACACCTGGATGTGCGTTATTCAGGCTGATGATCCCACCTTGGGGGTGTCAGAGGTGGCTGTGAGCTCCATGTCAAATGAGTCGCCTGGAAAGAGCTCCACGCGAGGCGAGCTGAGGCTCAGTCCTGACTGCTTCCTGTTGGAGACCAAAGCCCCCCGGCTCAGAGGAGGTTTCTGTTTGGGAGAGCTGAGTGGGGGCAGGAAGCTTCTCCCACTGCCGAGGCTTTCAGTCTTCCAGAACATCCGGTGGACTCGTTGGCCATGGTTGGTCAGTTTGAAGTGGTACGTGACCAAATTGTGGCTTAAAAACAAAAACACACGAGAGCTCAGACACACTGCCGGTGCCACGATCGTGAGAGGATGTTCTTGGTTTCTACCTGAAATGTGTGCCCAGGTCAAGACTGGACCCAAAAGGCTTGTCGCTGACGATGATGGTCCCGGTTCCTGAGGCCGACACGGACACCACGTGGGTCCTGCTGTCCCGTATGGACACCTCCAGCTTGTCCTGGAAGAGAAGTGTGTCCTTCAGGTGTACCACTATCTTCAGCTCGAACTGGCTCTCTGGTAGAACTTCTCCTTCACTGGGCTCAACGCGCCAGAAAGGCCTTTTGCAGCCCTGTAAAAAAATAAAAACAACTCAGACTCAGCCTGATGAGCGTGGCACGGTATGCTGCTCAGTTAGCGGTGCGGTCCGGTTTTGAGGCGTCGGGTACCCCCCTCGCATCAGTTATTGATGAGATGGGGCAGAATCTGTTATCATAATTTCAGAAAGTGTAGAAAATACACAAATCTAACCATCCCAAAGCCTAAAATTACCTTTATTCACTCTAGACATCCTGTCCCTGACCCCAGTATCTAAAATAAACCATCAACCCTGACCTCTAATATTAACCATTTTTAGAAAGTGTAGGAAATTCACTATCATCTACATGTCTCAAACCCTAAAAATACCTAATATTCACCCTAGACATCCTATCCCTGACCCCACTACCTGAAATTAACCTTGAACCCTGATCCCTAATATTAACCACGGACCCCAACTCAATGACCCCTATATTTTGCGTCCCAACACGTCAAACCTGGACGCCAAGCGAACCCAGAAATGCCCGGTGCATCAATAACTGACGCGACGGGGTTACCCAACGCGTCAAAATAAGACGCAGAGGGAACCTTGGAAAAGTGTCAATATGTGACGAGTCGGGAGTGAGAATGTGTCAGGATATCCAAACTGTTTCAAATAAAAGCTATTTGTTTACAGTGTAATACCGATATTACAGACATCAAACTAAAGCCAGTGACAAATATTTCCACAAGCCATCGATTGTAAACTTTAAGTGACTCTAAACAATGGGACTAATTTCTGGTTTACAGTGTGGTAAACAATATTTTAATGTTTGAGGAACAGCAGCTTAGTTAAATAAAACTTAAGAAACGTACAGGTAGCACATATTGATAAGAAAACTGCTGAGTAAGTAACATGTGACTTAACATCGGTCTGCGTATTGCCACAAGGTAGGACGGACTGATGGGTAGCACAGACCGTCAGAACCTCAGCCTATCATTAATCTGATCAATAGCTGGATTAGGAAGAGATTTAGCCTCCTGCACAATAGCCTTATTTTGGTCCTGATACCACACCGTAGATGAGTGAAGTGTTACGTTACGTCTTCCTCTGGAAACACCTTTGTTCCATCACTGAAACGTGATGCATTAAAATAACCCCTGTATGAGATTACCTCCCTCTGACTGAGACACACAGGTCTTCACCCACGGCTGGAGGTTGGAAGATGGATGTGTGTATCAGATAACTTTAAAATCACATCAACTTTCTGTGAAACATGAGATCGTACGGGTAAAAGAAGAGTAGCGGCTTCTGTCTGACATAACTAAGATTAAATACATCTTTAATATGAGCTGGATTCGTATCACAAATGTGCCTTAAATACATCAAAAGTCTTATTTTTCATTCATTCTGTTTCAGTAATATGTTTAAATACATCTGCAGAAACATGCGTGTTTATTTAAAATTGAAGTGTGAAGCAAAACCAGAAGATCTGATGTTCGTCTTGCTCACAGTTCTGTAAACAAACATCTGACCAAGCACTGGCTCAGATTACAATCAATGCTGCGTTTGGGATTTGTGCTGACGGGGGGCTGGAACGTAAACTTTTAATTGAGATTTGGAAAATTAGCTTCCAGCAGATGCAGTGAAGCTCGGTGGCTCTCGTAGGACAGCAGGTTATCGATCAGCGAGGAGAAGCTGCTGCTGCTGCGAGCGCCGCACCGAGGCGCGGGAAGATTGGACAAATGAAATATAAAAAGTGTTTTATGCTCGCGTCTCCAGCTGCTTTACGCTTCTGAGGGGAAACGCTCACTGCACATAAGCAGCGAGCGGCGCCGGGAGTCGTACATCACTTTCCCAGTGTCGGTCCGATCGAGCGGAGGAGCGGGTCGATGCCAGGGTGATCACGGTGAGGGGGTGGGTGGGGTCAGAGGGAGGGAGGGGGGCGCAGGGTTGTCTCCCCGGAGTGAGGAGGAAGATGAGTGGAATCTCAATAATCACATCAAACCTGCTGCGTCTCACAGCTTAATTAGCATTGATTGAACAAGTCGGAACACTTTAGAATTTCAATTTCTGCTGTTTCTTTCACAGAAATCAGAGAAACACTCCGACACCACGGTGTCAACAACACACAGCAAACAATAATAAGAACTAAATCTATAGGAAGATTTTTCATGAGCAACTAAAAGACGTTTTAACATCTTCACCTGCTTTATAAACTAAATTATTTATTTTAGTTAACCATGAAAAAAATCAGCTAGAAAATCTGCATTCTGTGAATTCTTATTGCTGACAGAGTTTTCCTGAGAGCTGAAAATGTTTAAAAGCAAAACTGTTAAAAAACAGCGAAGGCATTCCTTGGAGAAAGACACATTCAGTCGATGTCGTGGCCTGCAAACAGTCCAGATCTCAACCCAACTGAAAACCTGTGGTGGAAATTGGAAAAAAAGTCCACAAGAAGGCTCCGACCTGCAACGCTGATCTGGCACCAAACTGATGAAGAATACTGTTTTTCACTCATCAAGTCCATGCCTCAGAGACTGCAAGCTGTTAGAAAAGCCAAAAGTGGTGCAACTAAATAAATACTAAAATACTAGTGATGTATTTTGAATGGTCTTTTGTTTATCTGTTTTTCATGATTCTATACTTTTTTCCCTGTGCTTGATCAATAAAAGTAACATTCCCTGACTTCCACAATGTTTTCTCTTCATTTCTTTGAGTGTTCCTGAAAGCCAACAAGTTGCACTTTGGGATGACCTCATTATTGTATCATGTTTTTGATCTGAGTTTGTTTTACAGAATGAAATGTTTGAATGAGTGCTCATCCAAGACTGCTGATTCCAGACTTTTTGCCAGGAGTTGTACATCTGTAAATCAGTTGTATGACAAAAACCTTAACAGATACTTTTTAGCTTCATTACGTCACTTGCTGGTGATGTTGTGTTCTCTGTTGTAAACATGATGATGTCATGCAGGGACATCAGAGGCAGGAAGTCGGAGTGAGGGAGAGACAGGAGCAGACCAACAGGTAAGACAGAGAAACACAGAACAGATATTTTATATTAGAAAATCTTCTGATGACAGTAATATTTGTAAAAAGTACAATGATGATATCAGATGTGATCGATGTCTTTTCTTTCCTCTCTTTCTAATCTGTACTTCCTGTTTTATGTGACTTTTAGTATTTTTGGTCAGGTGTGAGCTTTTGCTGCCATGAGACTCTGTCCTACTGGTTAAATATTGCATTAGCATGAAAAATACAACTTCAAACCTCTTCAAGTACATTAGTCAACAATTATTGTGCATCAAGAAGTCCTTTGCGGTATGAGTATTCACACACTGACATTGTGATGACAATATATCTGTTATACTGTGCAATCCTATTAGACTCTAGATGTTTTGTTGGGTGGTTTACCCACATCACCATTTTTCCAAGAAAAGATCCAATAGCTTTGCAGTGTACAGTTAATTTATGACATATTTCTGTTCAGACTAAGTACAAATCTGTCAGGTTTCCAGTATTATGTGTCCTCCTCAACAGTAAACTCATTCCTACACCCATGGCTGCTGTTAGTTAACTCAGAAACAACACAAGCAGGACAATGCATTGGCAAATATGTTTTTTAAACTATAAGAAAACTAATAAGCTTTAAACAAACAATAAAAACTTACTGAATTCAAAGAAAAAAAGTCAAAACGAAATAAAACTAAACTATAATGAAAAATCCAAAACTATTATAACTTTGTTACTTACTTACACAGATTTCTAACAACAAATGTAAACAGCCTCATCCTGCCTGTAAACTGATGAAATAAATCCCTGACAGGTCGTCTCCATGTGACCGGTTCATAACGGTCAGACAAAGAGCCCTGATCTGAAGACAAGGATCCCTCTGGGGTAAAACAAGAAATTGACACAGGAACTAATTACATGCAGGGTTTAAAGGTTTGGACTTATTGACTCATTAATCACATGTCCAATTAGACTGCAATGAATTAGTCAAAGGAAAAGCACAAGACATTAGTAATCAGTTTGGAGTTGTGTGTGCTTCTGAAGCCTGGTGAGGTGTGATGTGAGTCTGTACCGTGGCGGTACTGAAGCGGGCTGGGATGGGCGACTGGTTGAACAGTTGCAGGGTTTGAATGACGTCTGTCAGAACAGGAACTCTGCCAAACTGCAGCTGAGTGCTGGAAACGTGAACAACCGGTCCCTGCCCAACACACGACAGAACCACCTCCTGAGAAACAACAGGAAGGAGAACAGATTACTCGTTTATAAAACTAAAACACAACGTCTATAGCTTCAACCTGCGACACAAACGTTGAGGTTTTCTGACCAGAGGCTGGGGTCTGCCGAACACAGCGACACGTAGAGAGCAACGCAGCTCCCCTACAGCCTTCACCAGCAGGACCACAGGAAGTTCTTCTGATCGGCCAGGAAGAAGAACTCCTCTGGGAGCTGGACTTTCAAAAACCAACGGTGGATCTTCCTCATTTTCCTGACAACAATAACACACACACAAACAATGTTTAATAAAACCTCTGGAGCCGTAACAGAACATCTGTGTTTATAATTAGAGAACAATCACACACAGGTAGAATCATTTTAGTCTTTTACCATTCACTCTTAGAGCTATAATGCACAGTTTTCATATTTTTATTTAAAACCATCCATCATGTGTCGTGCCACATGCACACAGCTGAACCTGATCCAGCAGGCCGTAGCAGGCGGGCAGGTCGCTGGAGTTGATCAGCTTCACTGTCAGCTCTCTGGGGTGGTTCAGGTAACATCTTTGGACGTCCAAAACTGGAGTTTCAACGGTAACGTCAGGCACTACACACCTATCAACAGAGAGAAGGGGGAAGGTGTGATGGTTATCTGTCATTTGTTCATGTAGAATTCTTTAAAGGGCCTGTGACATGCGTATCCTTCAAAATACAAAAAGTCAAAGAAAACATTTATATTAAAGAAAATTAGCATAATACGCATGATTTAACCCATTTTGTCTCATAACTGCCATAATTTCTCTTGAATTTGGCTCAGCAAAGTGAAACAGGAAGTGACATCAAAGGAGAACTCTTTAATAAAATAAACTCTCTGGTCTTTGTTTATTGAAACAATCTTATTTAAACTCTTCTTCAAATCTCATAGTGACTCAAAATAAACTAAAGAAACATCAGATTGTTCTCTAATTATTGTAGCATTGCTCTGTTTACATGCAGACATTCCCCTTTGACATCACTTCCTGTTTCTTCACATGCAAATATCTCAACAACTGTTCAACTCAACAGAGTGAAATTTGTTTTGCAACATATTTTCAATGTTCTCTTTCCAAAAACACATGCACATTTATTACAGAAATTCGATGTCACAGGCACTTTAAATATAAAGTTTATTCATAATACAAATTCATGAATATAAAACCATTTTATAATCTGATAAGTGAACATAGAGTTGACAAACAAAGCTCTGTGTGTTTATGAAGATGTGAAGGTTGTCCAATATTCCCTCTTTGTCAAGGTGTTTATTGCTTTATTTAAATAAAATAAAGTTATAATACTGTCAGGGAAATCCTCCTGTCACGTTGTTTTATAGAACTTCAAAAATCTGACTAACTTTTAAAAACAAAGTCTGCTCTGACAGGAGTTTAGAAAATATTACAGTAGCACATAATGTAGTTGCCTAAATTGTTATAGAATTCAATTAGGCCTTTACCAAATACACATTAAACTGAAAGCAACAATTTATTCTATTAGTTAGGTAGTTTGTTAATTATCTAAACACCTGCAATTCAACTCGTCACATCGACCCAAGGATTGTCTCTAACTGATGTGGAGAATTAGGCAACTATTGGTTAAAATGTTTGCAACATCACCTCAACCTCATCTACAGGTCATTTAAAATTCATTTAAATCCTTTTTTGAAGAACTTTTTTGAGCAGTAGATACAAAAAAACATGGTTTTGACTAAAAAAAGACAATTTTTGTCATTTTCCCTGCGAGCTGGCAAAGTTTTTATCTTTCCAACTGGAAAACTCTTAACATCTAAATATTGTTTAAAAATTGTTGTATGTTTCTAAGTTAACATAACATCAAACATTCCTTGTGAAGTGTCGTCTTTGATGAGCTGCATATTTTGATGTAATAAAACAGCTGAATGTATTTATTTCTAATGACAGATGTGAACGGGTCTAACCTGGCTTTGATAGGAAGATATGATTCCTCTTCAACAAAGTCCACCTTAGCCACCAGGACCACATTGTACGTTTTAACAGTGTTGGAGCACAGCGTCACCTGCTCACACAATGGTCACATATTAGTCACACAATGGTCACATATTAGTCACACAATGGTCACATATTAGTCACACAATGGTCACATATTTGTTTCACAATGGTCGCACATTGGTCACACAATGGTCATATATTGGTTACACAATGGTCATATATTGGTTACACAATGGTCATATATTGGTTACACAATGGTCACACAATGGTCATACAATGGTCAGGCACTGGTCATTCTTTTTGTTTAATGAGGATAAAGTGATGACTTTATTTAAAGGCAGGTTTGAGGACCTCACAGCACAAAGGTCCTGGGTTCAGTCCTCAGGTGTTTCTCAGCATTTATATCCTGTTTAAATCATCTTGGTATCAAAATAAAGCTAACATTTGTGAGACGTCATCAGAAGTCTAATCAGAACAGAAGATGCTGTTGATTCAGAGAACATGAGGATGGAATGTAGAAAAAAAGATTTGTTTCCTCTCCTGATGTTTTCTGTTTTATAAAGCTTATAACCCTTTTGAAAATATGATAAATAAAACCAAAAACTCTGAAACCAAGAATACATATGTGGACATTACTCGTGCAAAGATTCATGCTGCTGAAATAAAGAAGAGCAAAGTAACAGAGGTTTTAGTAAAAAAAAAAAGAAATCGGAACATTTTGGCACTATTTATGAAAGCTTAAAATAAATAAGTAATTAATATTAGTGTGAAATTAGTGTTTGGTGGATTATTTCTTTGCTTCTGCACCTGCAGGTTGCAGAAGCTCAAAAGAAGATTTAAGAACAAAATCAGCTGTTTGACAGAAAAGATTTGTCTAATTTTTTTATGCGTACAACCCAAATACAAATAAGGACATGGTATTTTGCTTCTTTAATATGTCAAATATCAGGAAACAAAATCTATTTTTTAAAATAGTTTTGTAATAAAACAAACGTAATCAGTCCAGCTGTAATCACTCAATAATCCCCCCTCCCTGTTTACTTTCACTCCCTGCTCTCATCAAACTGTTTCTTCTTGTTTTATTGTCTCTCTGGGTTTTCTGTTGTCGGTTGTTTAGCTGCCCCCTCAGAAGTTTTACTTCTTATTATTCAAAGCTTTAGTTTCTCGTTTCTCTCTCCTCTTTTGTTGTTGAGTTTGCACTTTGGGTCGTTTTCCCACAACCTTCGGTTTAAAAAAGGCTGTAAAACTGAAGACAGACTTTAAATGGACTGTCTCTTGGATTCATGCTTTGTTGAAGACTGTAAACATGTTAGAAAAGGTGAAACAAACTGTGAACGTCTTTGTTTTGGGATGAATTTGCAGGTAAATCATACCTGAATGGTTTCCTGAGACATGGAGCGCACGGAGCCAGCAGCGGGGCTGATGGTGAACTCCACGAGACGGCGTGGAGCTGCGTGTCCTTGCCACCTCTTCAGGGATAAATCAGACACCTGGTCGGTGCTGTTGACACTGGGGGACTCTGATCCATCCCCAAAGACCCGGAGGGCGAAGGTCATGGGCACGAAGGATGTGTTAAAGAGCGTGCACGTCACCGTAGCTGGGAAACCTGCAAGAAAACACGGAGAGGAATCAGGAGTGAAACACAAAGTAAAGTTTAACTGGATGAAATAAGCCTCACCGAAAGCTACGTCTCCAAAACTGAGCTCAGGAACATCAAAATGAAACGTGGGGCCGATGACAGAACCCCTAAAAAATAAAAACAACGATAGAGCAGCACAAAATGACGCCTCCTTTTCCTTCGAAACATAAACTCCAGCCTCACCTGAAGGTTAAGGCAGGAGGTCGAGGCTGTCCTGGGACAGTTAGCAGCACGTCCTCAGAGAAACGTCCTAATGTGGGACTCTGGAAGAGGACCTCCACAGCCTGGCAGGCCCCGGGGGGAACCAGGCCTTCCTCTGGACTGAAGGAGAAACATCCGCCAAACCTGCTGCTGCTGCTGCGAAACCTGAAGGGGGCGTCGATAGGCCCATTGTTGAACAGCTGCACCTGAACAATATAAATAAATAAATAAATAAATAAATAAATAAATAAATAAATAAATAAATAAATAAATAAATAAATAAATAAATAAACATTCAGTAACTGTTTTTAATATGTGAAGTAGGGCTGGGTGGTATGACCTCAAATTCATATCAGGGTATAAATTGAATCCTTCACAGTAACAGTAGATATCACAGTAGAAAATGATCATAAAAAAACTAAAATAATGTAATTTTTAAAGCATTTATTTAGCAGAAAACTAAAATCATAATCAAACCCAGTGTTTTTGCTGTAGTGCAAATGAACATAACAGAAATACAAAATAATGTTTTATATATTGAAAAACGGTTTCAGAAACAAACAAAAACATTTCTCATATTTTCAACAATATCAAAACTAAGTGCATGTTATAACCAGTACTTCAAGTAAATTTAGATAAAAAAAAAACATTCTAAGTTGGCATAAGTTGTATAAAATGTTATAGTGTGACAGGACCTTCAGCTGCACAGTCCTGTCATAAAAAACTATTTCACATAACTGGAATGTAAGTGTGGTGAAGCCAAATAAATGTAATATCTGCCTGCCATACAATGAGCTGTCTGCTGAACTCTGCTGCTCTCAGAGCAGAACTGTTACATTAACAAAATGATTTATGACTGAACGAACGTCCACATCTTTTTATCATCTCTGTGGGAAACAACACATAAAAACAAGTTTTTTTCTCCCGACAACTTGTGTGTAAAAAACTACAGTTGTTGTTAAAGCTTCGCTCTGTGTGACGTGCAGCAGGAGGGAGGAGGAAATGATCCCACCACACAACGTAACTTTTCTACAGCAGGAGGAGGAAATATGAGGATTTATTCTCTCTATATGTGTTTTAAAATACTATTTCTTCATTATATTTGGAACTCGTCCTGCTCAGGTGTGTCTGCACTCACAGCCCTGTTGACACAGGTGTGATGATGATGACAGGACGATAGAGGGTGAATTTCTACCGTAGACCAACTTCATATAGTTTCTGTCCATCACATATAACGCACTGCTCTAATATGAAGCTTATAAATTATCCAGGCGTTTATAAAGGTTGTACAGATATAAATAATATAAACTTTATTGATCCCTGGAGAAACATAAAATAGGTTCAATATTAATAACGAGCTGACAGTAGTCTGTTTATAAATCACATAAAACTTTTGTTAAGTATATAAATTTATAGATGTGCATCAGGTGAGCTGCGTAGGAAACTGAAAATTTAGTTTAGGCCTTTAATTGTCACAAGGCTTCACAAGCTTTCACACTTCAACAATTTATACATCAAACCTTCAGCTCCTTCAGCACATTTCAGCTATGAGGTCTGCTACTTCAGCAGTTTATACCTTTTGACATATTTAGCTTTTTCTGCTAGTTGTTTTCTCAATGAAAATGAGATGAAAATGAACGGATGTGTCTAAAACTCTTCAAAATGTTCAAAAATCTTTACTGAACTTCTCAGCTTTTCTTCTAGTTCTGCCTTTTTGTTATTTCCTTGTGCTAATTTCACCTTCCTCCGGCTTCTGTTTAGCTGATTTTAGCTTTTTCGGCTTTTTAGCAATCATTTTGACCTTTTCTGCTATTCTTCTGCCAATTTCAACTTTTATGGTTCTTTGTATTTCTTTCTGCTATTTAAGCTTTTGATGCTTCTTTCAGCTGCTTTCTGCTAATTTCAGCTGGATGTTTTAGCTCATTTGAGCTTTTTTCTGCTTTATTAACTATCATTTTGACCTTTTCTGCTAATTTCAACTTTTGTAGTTCTTTCTGCTATTTAAGCTTTTTCAGCTGCTTATTTCAGCTGTTTGTGTTTTTAGCTCATTTGATGTTTTCTTAGCTAAACTCACCTTTTAGTGATAACTTCAGCTTCTTACTACTTCCTTCCGCAGATATGTGCTTTGTCAGTTTCTTTGTGCTAATTTAAGCTATTTCTAAGCTATTTTTCTGCTCATTTCGGCTTCTTTAGCTATTTTACAACAATCTGCAACTCTTCTTGTTTTCTGCCAATGTGAACATTTGTACTCAGCGATCACCATGTGTCTGCTCACTTCAACATGTTTTTACTTCAGTTTTCCTGTCTTTAGCTAAAGTCAGTCATTCAAACTGAACTCACATTAACGGCTTTTCTGTTCAACTTTTTCAGCTCTTCAGCAGCTTTCAGTAATAATCTTTCAGCTTTAAGCATTCACACTGCATTTGGTTTGCTTTAATTTCAGTTTGAGATTCTTGGAGTTTATTTTATTTTTTAAAAAGGAACAAAGTTAACTTGTTTTAATCAAAAGTTAAACAAGAAAACTAAATATGTGATTTCCTAACGAGGTCTTCAGGTCTCTTACCTCAGAACGTGTTTGTTGATCTATAAACACATTTTCCAGATTGATCAGGGTACAACTGAGCTGGAGATCTGGTCCGAGACCCTCACCCTGTACGGTGAGGGGTAACCGGGACTCACGGCCTGAACACAGGAGCAGAAAGAAAGTGATAAATTAAAAAAACAAGGATTAAAGATCCTTACTGCTCAAAGGAGAAACAAAGGGAGAAAAGATGCAACAATAAAAACTAATGTTTGAAACCACATTATTTTGACAATAGTTTACAGAATCAAACACAGTCCTTTAGATTTCATCTGTTTGTTGAAGGAAACAATGAGAGGACTTGGTTTTGGTTTGGTTCATTTTCTTAAGCATCTTTTGCAAAGTCAAGAATTGGGAAACAACGATTCACAGAATGAAGTCGGTCAGATCCTCACCTGCTTTAGAAAACATGGAAATGAATGGAAATCTCACCTCCGGCTAAAAGACACACATGGAGGCCACATGCAAATATTCCAACAGCCTCTCGTGACCTTTATGATGTGGTAATTGTTTTAAAGAGCAGCTCAGATTTTCATTTTTAACATTATTTGAACCGAACATCAGCAGACATCAGGAAACGTCTTTAGTTTAATGTTAATCTGCAGAACTAAAACGACTCTTTTATCCAACGGTTACAAATATTTAGATGATTCAACCAACTTTTCTACCCTGGAGGAAAAGGAAACGGTGGAGAAGTTGTGTTTCGTTACTCAGACTCAGACTTGTCTGACCTCTGAAGCTCCCAGCAGAGGAGAAGAATCTTTATGAGAAAACTAAAGCTACGGATTTACGGTACAGGAGGGCTGAGCTGTGAGCTTAACGCTGTTAAGGTGAAGAACAAACACAAAAATAACAGAGTCGTCCTTGGTTCAAGGACAATTTAAACTTTATTTATTTATTGTTTAAACCTGTCAATGTTTAGTGAAAGGAAAGGAAAGGAGACTGAAATTCTGATAGCAGAATCTATAAACTGAAGGTTCAACATCAGATAAAAGCTTTAATTTAGAATCAGACGAGGCAACATCCATATGTGAGGAAAGAAAGAATACTATAGTTATATTCAGTTCTGAGGTTTGAATAGAATAGAATAGAATAGAATAGAATAGAATAGAATAGAATAGAATAGAATAGAATAGAATAGAATAGAATAGAATAGAATAGAATAGAATAGAATAGAATAGAATAGAATAGAATAGAATAGAATCAGCCTTTATTGTCCCGCGGCGGGGAAATTCAGTTGTCACAGCAGCAACAGATACAAAACAGTATATTACTATGTGACATTATCAACTGTAGCAATAATAATAGAATTAAAGTAATAACAATAAAAATTTAAAATAGAAAAAAAATCTAAATTACTGTACAAGACTATAAAGATGAAATAAGATAAAAATAAAAAAATAAATGCAAGATACCATACAGAAAAAGAAAAACATTACAGGAAAAACAGACATGACAGATGATCCGAGGGGGCGGGTTTAAGTCGAACTCAGTCATTACGTTATTGTTCCAGTACAGGAAAAACGATGTACAAGTGCCACAGAGTATTATTTGTGCAATGAATGAGAGCTAGAGTTGTTTGATGCTTATGGAGATTGTTAGGAGCAGTGGTGGTTGCAGAGTCTAACAGCTGATGGGAGGAAGGATCTGCAGTAACGCTCCTTTGTGCAAGTGATGCAGCAGTCTGTCACTGAACGAGCTCTGCAGATCAGAAACAGTTCCATGCATGAGGTGGGAGACGTTCTCTGTCAATGATGTTATTTTAGTCAGAGTCCTTCTGTCTCCCACCACCTGCACCGGGTCAAGGGGGCGTCCCCGCACAGCACACAGGATCACGGCTAAAAGAAGATCCCAGATGAAAAGGAGTCTTCTGTAGGGTGGCCTGGCTCGGGTTTAGACTTCTGTCATCGTGAGGAGCAAAGCTTTTGCTCCTCCACGTCAAAAGGAGTCAGCTGAGGTGGTTCAGGATGACGTCTCAAAGAGAGGAGACTCCAGGGCGGACCCACAGCTTTATAAAGGTCTGAGCACACTGTAAGCTTTCCTCATAAGGACCTGGAGAGTCTCTGAGGACAGGGATGTCTGGGTTTCCCTCCAGGAGCTGATAACTCCCAGGGTTATTATAGTTAACTAAAACTAACTAAATAACAAAAACTGAAATAGAAAAAACATTTTAGTTAACTGAAATAAATAAAAACTGTAATAAAATGAACAAACAGTAACTAAAACTGTTTAATATTTCTACAAAACTAAAACTAACTGAAATTATAGATAGAATTTCCTTAGTTTTAGTGTTTGTTGATTTATTTTGAGCTGTGTAGACTGATTAAACTAATCATTATTTATTTATTTCAAATTGAGTATTTTCACATTAACAGTGGGCAGCTTACAGCATCTCAGTCCATAACAATATTTGGTTACAATCTGCTGCTGCTCAGCATCGTCTAACAAATGACGACAGCAGAAGTTCGGAGAAAGCGGTGATGTCCTCTTTAACATTATTTTGAATATGACTGAGGGAAAAATCAAATCAAGTGTCTTGTAATGGAAACAGGTGATAAAACAGGTGGAATACTTCTCAAGGGAAAAACTGCATGAATCAAACTCACATAAGATGCTAACTATGAGCTAGCTTCTCTCAGTAGCTCCAGTGAAAAACAAGCAGCAGGTAGCAGCAAGTTGGAGACAACTATTGTCATCGTCCTAAAATAATCACCAAGTCCTTTTTTTGGCAAAACTGGATTACGCAATTATTTTAGGAAGGTGTCGCTATAATGGACTGATTTAACTAGTGACCAAATATCTGTTGGTTAGTTAACTCACAGGAACATCACAAGCTTAAGGATGCATTGCAAATATGTTTATTCAAATTACGGTATATAAAAAAAACTACTAGAACTAATAAATACTAAAGTAAAACTAAGCATTAAAAATGCAATAATAATAAAAACTAGCAAATCCACTGTAAAAACTAATTAAAATTACTGTATTTATTCATGTATAATACGATCTCATGTATAATATGATCTCTCCCTTTTTTTGAGCTTAAAAAGCATAAAAAATTCAATCCTCAAACTACCTCCAGTTTCATACAAACTTGAAGATTTTTCAGCCTTTTTGCAGTCTTTATACATATCAGTAAAATGATCATTGGACTGTTCATTTTATTTTAACAACATATGTACTAAAAGGTATTTTGACAACAAATATATATCAGCTGTAGCAGCATCATATGAATTCTGGCATTTTACACATAGTCCACCAGGAGGCGCCAACACAAAAGTCAGAGACTTGAGATTTGGACCATCTTCTGGGGGAAAAGCAGCTTACTTCCTACTCGTGAGCTCCCCCTCTGGTGGGGAAACTTTTTTCAGGGATACAACCTTTTTCAGAACACCGGTAGACGGCAGCCATTACAGACGAACATGTGTTTGTTGTTGTTCGAGGAGCGGCTCGGTCACACACTAATGTCATTAGTTTGTTATCATTACTAAGGTGCAGGACTGCCTTTTTCCCCTTTTTTTCACATCATGTCGCCTGCCTGGATCTGTTATTATCTCGCTCTGAAGCACGGAGGAGTGTCAGAGGTGAGCTCGTTTCAACTGATTTTTACGACGCGGTCTCAGTCATTTCCGGACTCAGGCATTTTGTGAATGAAGCCGATATTTCAGTTAAAACACATAAGTAAAAATATTTATCAGAGTATAGTACTACCCCCCAACTTTATGGATGATTTTATGGATTTAATTTTGCATATTATACTTGAATAAATACGGTTACTGAATTAAAAGAAAAAAGTCACAACAAAATAAAACTAAAATATAATGAAAAATCCTAAACTATTATTACCTTGATAAGTCCGTGATCGGACCGTGGAAAACTCAGATTAAGTAAATAAACTAAACAGCTGTGTTCAAACAGGAGACTTGATGTACGGTGAGAACAGAGCTGCAGACCTGAGCTGTAATGTTTTTAATGATAAATTATTCAGTTATAAATGGAGGCACTCACCTGCTACGTCACAGTAGATGGTGTGCTGGTAAAGTTTGGCCTCCTCAGGCTGGAAGACGATAATAAACCTGGCTGTGGTGTTTGGGAATATCTCCCCCTCCTGGAAGAACGTCGAGACAATAACTTTATTAAAACAAGAGAAACTGTATGAAACACAGAGTGGAGGCCGAGTTGTTGAAGCTAAAAGAACCGCTACAGCAGCTAAAAGCTAAAATTAAATAAAGAAAAGGTGCAGATAGGTGAGATTCCTCTGACTACTGCAGGTAACACACTGACTGCTCATAACTACTCTTCACGTAAACCAAACCACTTTAACTTGTCAACAAATGACTGCAGACCTGCCAGCTTAGAAAAGATGTTTGAACTGAATGTAATGTTTGTACAGACAAAGTGAAAACATTCAGGAGGAAACACAAACACACCAACGGCTCCACGGTTATACAGCCGTCCGACAGGGGCAGCAGGTGGTCCTGGTCTCTGGTCTCCTGTGGGGATCTGGACAGTAGTGGGAGGTGATGAATCGCTGAGGGGTTAGACTCTTTCTCCTCCTCCTCCTCCTGCAGGAGCACGTGGTTCTCCCTTCAGAGAGGACAGAGAGAAGGTGAAAAACTGAGGAGAACAAAAGTTACTGACAGAGGAAAAACATGGATATCTGGGCCCGTAGTTAAACTTCTTACAGAGGAATTCTGGACTGAAGTGCTGAAAATTTCTTACATTTGCTGCTACTTCAGTGTAAAAACCAGTTATCAAAATTCTTCAGTCTAAGAATCAGTCTTTCTCTCCTGAAATGTTCAGTCTGCTCCAGACGACTCTTATGTGGTTAAAACAGGGCTATTCAAATAAATCTGTCTGGGGGCCACAGTTACTGCAGGTCAACAGCTGAGGAGCCGAACATCCAGCAATTAAAGTCATTATGTAAATAAACCCAGGATTACAAAGATCTGTTACCTTTGAATTAGTTTATTTTGCTGTATTTAATCATGAACACATGATAAACGTAGTGATAATAAAACAACAAAAACAAAAAGAACACATTAGGCCTCTTATTTACCACAAATATTATTTTAACATCTCTGAATTACCAAATCTTTAAACCAACTTTATTTTCACTTTCATAGTTTTATCTTCGACTGCTTGTAGTTTTAACTGTTTTGAGTGTTCATAGAAATGTTTTTACCAGCTTGTAGCAAAGATTCTGACGTTTCTGTAGATACCACATGTGTCTATGTCGAACTAAGTTAACTAAAGTAGAAAACTGGGGGTTTGGGTTTAAGATTGGCAGGCTGAACTTTGGTCACTCTATTCAACTGGCGGCCTGCGGGCCACATCCAGCCCATGGGTCTCCCACCTGAGTGTGATTTTTAAATACAATGAACTTTACTTTAGTTCCAGGCTGAGTCATTTCTACCTTCTCCTCTCTGTCAACGCTCTCTGGTTTCATTTAAAAGAGTCGATCATCAGATATTGTCCAAGATTAACC